TGATACTCTTTACTATTTGGCCAGAAATGTTTGCAGCTAATCTACAGGTAAAGTGTATGGTTATATTATTAAATTGTGGCTCTGTACCTCAGTGAGTTTGGTATTTACCTGTGGTGTCAAGAGGCTGGAAGTTTGAATCTTCACTGTGTCTTCCAGGAAAAGAGCCAGTATGCGTAGCCTTAAGCACCCCCAGAACAAGGGGATGGTAAAGCACATCTGAGTATTAAGAAAACAGTGGAAATGATTGTTGTCAGTTGGAATTGACTTGGAGGCACATCATTATTGTTAAGCTAAAATGTCACCTTGTAAAACGTAAAACTAAGTATCACACTTCAGGTTGTGGGGCTTTCTTGATCAAGCACTTCTCCATACAAACATAGGTAAAGGTTCCCCTTGACATTTACTGTAGTCCAGTTGTGTCCAACTCTAGGGCGCGGTGCTCATCCCTGTTTCCAAGCCGTAGAGCTAGCGTTTGTCTGAAGACAGTTTCTGTGGCCACATGGCCAGCATGAATAGACACGGAACACCATTACCTTCCCACCGAGGTGGTACCTATTTATCTAGGCTTTCTTGATCAAGCGCTTCTCCATACAAACATACCCTCACATATACAGTATTAGTAAAGCAAGGAGTAACCTTTTCTACCGACATCTGCTTTTCAGTGTGTTGGTGTTATGATAAAGGTGACAGATTATGACCAGACATAGCTTTTACATGCTTATTTGCCATTTCTGAGTTCTTGACAGGGCCCTTTAATGTACTGACTGGTCTTGTAACATAAAGAAGCTATATTTCATCATTATAGGGTGGAAGGTTTCAAACTATATTCTGGATAATTTTGATGTTCCTCCTTGAGAATATGACATATGGAAAAACATTTGAGGCTTAGTTCTTCTCTTTTACCAAGTAGTTCTGCTTTCCTTCGGCTTCCTTTTTCCTAGCTCCCTCTGGAGGTTCAGCTGAGAATTCTCCCATCTGAGAAGCCCAGGGCTCTCATGAGCTGATTCCATGTAACTGAGGATTAAATAGTTTTGACGACACAATCCAAGTACAGTATTTGACTTTAGTTTTTCCCGTTTAAAGGGAAAAGTTACTGCCTTGATTAGAACTTGTTCAAAGTATTGTAACTTAACCAGTTACAACAGTTTTAGGGCCGCAATACATCCAACATCACTTTAAATAGCCTTAGGTGATACAATTAAAGGTAAAGGTTCCCCTTGACAATTTTTGTCCAATCGTGTCCAACTCTAGGGGGCGGCGCTCATCCCGCTCTTCAAGCCATAGAGCCAGCGTTTGTCCGAAGACAATCTTTCCGTGGTCACATGGCCAGTGTGATTTAGACACAGAATGCTGTTTACCTTCCCACCGAGATGGTACCTATTTATCTACTCGCATTTGCATGCTTTCGAATCGCTAGGTTGGCGGGAGCTGGGACAAGCAACGGGCGCTCACTCCGTCGCGTGGATTCGATCTTACGACTGCTTGGTCTTCTGACCCTGCAGCACAGGCTTCTGCGGTTTAGCCCACAGCGCCACCACGTCCCTAGGTGATACAATTGCTGGAGCCCAAATTTAATCGAGAAAGAAAAACAATCTTACAAGCAAGAGATACTTGCTTGCCTGTAAAAGTATATTTTTATTGGTGTGCTGTTGTGAGAGGTACTTCCATTTAATAATAAGCAATACCCTTAATTTATTGAACTGTTAAACAGTCAGATTTCCTCAAAAAAGGGGTGTGGGGTCTTGTGGACTGGACTGGATAAAGCAAGTCAATTCTTATTCCATGAATAATTCTTATTCTTATTTCCAGGGAAATTAGGCTACATGAACATGTTTAATGGACAGCAGTTGGCTTCTCCAATGTGTCCATTGGAGAAGGACACATTCCTTAAAAAGGAATCTTATGTTCCTTTTTAAGGGGTCATAAGATACTTTGCTCATTTTGCTGCAGCAGGCTAAAATGGTTGCTCCTTCATGCTTCCTTGAATATTTCAAAATGCAGTAAATTTGTTTTTAAAAAAGTTAAACTGGCTTATTTATTTGACAATTTCAATAACTGCATGCTGTCAGGTTGATTCTGACTTATGGTGACCTTTTCCAGGGACTTCAAAGCATATTCAGAAGCGGTTTACCATCCCTTTCTTTTTGGGGCACCCTGGGACTGTGCAGTTTGCTCAAGGCTACACAGGCCAGCTCTTCTCCGGGGAGGCGCAGGACGGAATAAAATTCCTGATCTCTGGCTTTGTAGTCTGGCACTCCAATTTGCGGAGTTATCCAGCTAGCATTGATAAACACCCCCAAATTCTACCTAGTAAATGTCCAGTCATGTTCGACTCTAGGGGGTGGTGCTCATCCCTGTTTCCAATCCATAGAGCGAGCATTTGTCCGAAGACAATCTTATTCGGTCACGTGGCCAGCGTGACTAGACACGGAACGACGTTACCTTCCCACCAAGGTGGTACCTATTTATCTACTCACATTTTTACATGCTTTTGAACTGCTAGGTTGGCAGGACAATTTCTAACTACCCACTCTCAATTTGTTTTTCGGTTATTACAAGCAATACAGAACAGAGGTATCAGAGATAGGTAGGGCTATTCCAGCACCTATGGCAAGAGACGAACTGTCTCTTCATTAGTTATTGTCACCAACCAGTCACCCTTCTATTAGGGTACAGCAAAAAGAAACCGGATGGCTCTGAGATCAACAGCCTTTTTGTTCATAGAATACAGGAATACAAATAGAATGCAGGAATACACATCAAAGGATATCTAGGTATCAGAGATAGGTAGGGCTATTCCAGCACCTATGGCAAGAGACGAACTGTCTCTTCATTAGTTATTGTCACCAACCAGTCACCCTTCTATTAGGGTACAGCAAAAAGAAACCGGATGGCTCTGAGATCAACAGCCTTTTTGTTCATAGAATACAGGAATACAAATAGAATGCAGGAATACACATCAAAGGATATCTGCCCGGTCCGGTGCTAAGTTTCTCTTGAATGCCAACACAACCTCTCAAGATAATTCGTTCCACTGTCTTACTGCTCTAACAGGAAGTTTTTCCAGATATTCAGTCGAAAACTGGTTTTCTGTAACTTGAGCCCATTGTTGCGTGTCCTGCACTCAGGGATGATTGAGAACAGATCCTGCCCCTCCTCTGTATGACAGCCTTTCAAGTATTTGAAAAGTGCTATCATATCTCCCCTCAGTCTTCTTTTCTCAAAGTTGAACATACCCAATTATTTCAGTCTTTCCTCATAGGGCTTGGTTTCCAGCGCTATGAGGAAAGACTTTGAGTTAATACTATGTCTTCCAAGGTATTAACTATTCCACCCAATATTGTGTCATCCATAAATTTGACAAGCATTCCCTGCACTCTCTCATCCAAGTTATGTTATTTTTGCACAGCATTGCCATTCCATCAGTCCTCCTCCAAAATTTCGCAAGTTATGCCATTCCATCAGTCCTCCTCCAAAATTTCTGTATTAGCTGATTGTTGGATGAATTCTAACTTTAACAGTTAATGTCTCAGCTCATTTTTTCCTCCCCCCAGCACCCCTTTCCCATCATGTCTTTTACATTGTAGACCTAAGGATAGGGACCACCTCACTACTAATCTTTGTAAGCTACAATGATGTAAAAAAAAAATCCTTACTTCTTTTTAAAAGTTTTTTTTTCTTCCCACAATCTTATAAGTGGATTTTGTGTGTTCTGGCATAGCAACCCACAACCTTTGGCCCTCCATATAATTTGGACTTTGACTTTCAGAACCTCCAGCCAGCATGACTGGTGAGCAAGACTTCTAGCCACTGAAGTCCAAAACATCTGAAACCCAAAACCTGAAAATGACAGTTTCAGTACATTAAATTAGAAATGTTGCTCTTTTAACAATTATAGGTCAAAAAAGCAACAGAAAATTGGCTACAGTAGATGCTCTAAAAAGGGAGAGGCTGACTGGTGCTCTTCCTTCCCAGGCTCAAATTTTACAGTGCTTTTCTTCAGTTTCACCACTTTGAGGACTATTACACAGGCCTGTCAATAACTTCATTGGCTCAATGGAATCTTACTATTCAAAGGCACTGTAATTCCTTTTAATTTCAACTGAGGCTTTTCAAGGCTCATACAAATATAAACCAAACTATACTACCCACTGGTGGTGATATTACAGCATGGTATTAGAGGACACAGCTGTGGGTCAGGTGGCCTGTCCTATATCCTGAAACCCTACTTGCTGCCCTGAGGTGAAGGAGAAGCCTCTGTTCCCTAATTGTTGTGGATCAGAAGAACAAGGCTCTTCTTGCCTTTCAACATAGCCAGCAAAATTTCTAAGCCAAGCCCTGTCACAGATAATACTCCTCACCACATAAAGAATGTTGAATAACTTTGCTGGGAGGGAGGATCAGATCAAAGCAATAGTCATAAATAGAGAATGAGCAAGAGATTGAGATATTGCTAGGGAAAGGAACAGTGAGATGCCATTCCCCAGCTTTGTAGTTTTGCCGTGCAGAGTCATAATTTCGTCAGTTTCTTTCCCTCTGGGAGCAGGCCTGAGGTACCACCACTCCTCAGAGAAGACTACCTGAAATACCTTGCAAAATTTTGCTGCAGGGGCCAGTCGTACCAGAAAGCCCAGGGGAGGCAAGTTTGAAAGCAAGGAAGAGCCTTGTTACATAGTTGGGAACACTGACTGATTGAGCTTCCCACTTATGAGGAAAAGGGTGATTCTCACCTGTACCTTCCTTTGATGAAATCAAAGAATGATTGGCCATCATCTAGCTTGGTAGTGACCTAAGCTGTGTTAGTTCTGGAACATTTTATTGTGGAATAAAACCTATTTATTTGTCCAGTTAACTTAAGTTTGGGAAGCTATATAGACTTCCCTCTTTGGAGGCATTTTGGGTCCAGTGTCATTTCACTTTAAAACTCAAGTATGAATTTTATGATAAAGACTGTGTTTTACATTCTTTGATGAGAGCTGAACAGAACATCACCACAGAAAAACAGTGCTTACGCAATCTTTAATGTAATTTCTAGTAGGATTTCTTGAGTAAGTCAGTGATGGTCAATATACAGTACATTCATCATGTTCAACAATTGTGTTTCCTACTTAATTTTAGGAGTGCCAAGAAACACAGGTTTTGTCTTTTCATGGAAACTACTAGTGGATCTAACATAACTTGATTAAAGCAGGGCTAAAGAAGCCCTTTCCATGAAATCACCTTTTAGTACTGTAGAGCTGATTTTATTTGTAACTCAAGCTGAAAGGTTGCTCCTTTTCAGTCACAGAGGCAAAGTAGGCAGAGGTACTATGCAATACAGGAAGCAAAGAATACATCAGAAAAATTTGGTCAGCTCTGAAAACTACATTTGAAACTGGTTGTGCAATTGTCTTGTTACTAAGAGCACTCAATAACAGGCACAAGTGATCCAACAAAGCAGGTAATCAACAAACTGCCACAAGGAAAAAGAAAACATTTGATAACAGTGAAAGCATTGTGATGGTGACTTTAAAGTCGACTTTTAGAATCCTCAGTGATGAAGCCATCACCTGAATCTTTACAAGCACCTAGTCATGCAGTGGAAAGAAACTCAACAGCAGTCTCCTTCTCATCAGTTAACTCCTTTGCAGTCACATCCATCTTCTCACGGGAGAAGTCATTAATAGGAAGGCCTTCAACTATCTTCCATGTTTTATCCTGTGAAGAATATATTGGTAAGACTGAAGCTCAGTAGTACATCAAATAACAGCTTACTAATAAGTGTGTGTGTATTGTTTAGTTTAAATGCTATATGTGAGAAGACTAAACTAAGAGATTACATATGGAGTACACCACCACAATGGAGTTTATTAAATTAGACTATCAGTCCATAATGTATTGTGGGGGGGCAGACTTTCTAAATTCTTCACACTTTAAATTAAATTTTCAAGAATCTATTGGGACAAAACTGAGAATACTGGACTGTTATAAAACCAAACCAAGAAAACTATCAGATGGTGAAAAAGCATCCTGTCTTATCATGCTAGAAAAAGTCACTTTGCTGGGAGCAATCTTCCGTCCATTCAGGAGCCACTCCAGTCTAACCCCAAAGTGACTCTTCCATCCATGAAATAATTACTCCACCCTCCCCCCCTCCACTGCAATAGTAGCTCTGGCACTGGACCACAAAGGTCCAGCTTGGCCCCAAAGCAGAGTTGGCTGGTCTGCAATCTTTTGTGCATTATGCAATTACCAGAAAATATTTTGCATGAGATAGTGCCACAAGTGGTCCAAAATACAAGCTGTGTCCATATATAATTGCACCCCAAGTACTGTGTGCAAGTCTATGATTTGAATGGACATTTATGCCTGCAGTTATTAAGAGTATACCAGTATATTATATGTCTTCTATATAGAATTTGATCTAGTGTTCTCTTTTATATTATTTAATGTAAAGTCACCTTACTTTATAACAGATTAACAATGTGGCCTAGCCTTTAGAAGAACACTTAATACAGCTCTATAGGTATTGATGCTTTGCTGTAAAACTAAACCCTCATAAGATTACTTGGACCCTGCAGAAATGTGAAAGAAGACAGTATAAATTGTCTACAATAGAAATGTTAAAACTAGATATTATTAAGTTCATGTAACATCACATTCATCTAACAAGGCTGTTTCAAAATACCTTTATTACAACAGGAAATGAATAGATAATATCTTCAGGGACACCATAGGAATTTCCATCAGAAATAACACCCATAGAAACAAATTCACCCTTTAAAAGGAAACACAAATTATTATTGTGGTAATCTCCATCCAACAACTTAATTGTTCATACAAATTCTTTTGTGTGAAACATTTTTAGAAGGAAGATTTAGCATTTGCTATGTTTCACTGTATTCTAATATCTCAATGTGTTCTAGAATCTCATTACTGATTTTGTCTTTATACTTAGAAGCACTTACCACATTTGTATCCCACTCTTCCACCAAGGCATTCACAAAAGCAGGCACAGGATTGTCACTGGTGATCAGCTGGTTGCACAATGTTTACTAAGTGAACACTAAACAGCCTTTATCAAGGTTAATACCTTCATAAGTCATAGCAAGACATACCTCTGGAGTGCCAAACCAGATGTCTCTCACATGATCACAGATAGCTTTGGCTGCTGACATTGCACTTGATAGCTTCCTGGCCTTGATGACAGCTGCCCCCCGCTGTTGAACAGTCTGTAGTATTGACAGATGGAAATTACTAGATTATTTGTATTTACAGCTATAATTACTAAGTATTTTTTTAGAAAAGCACAGGAGCTAGTTCTTACCACCTAGTTCTCTTTGAACTACAGTACTTCATGTACTTTACTAAACTCAGGTTGAATATGGTCTGGCTGTGGTCAGACATGGTGGGTGTGAACCAGGGCATAGTGCTACTAAGTCACAGAGCAAGCATATTAACACCATGACACAATGCCACTTACTCATAAGCCTTTGTCTGGAGCCACTGGGCAAGGACACCTTGCAGCTGGTTCAGACACTGTAAATGTTCATGGGAGAGGTACAAATAGGATTCCAGCTATGTCATAAAGCTACTAGGTTTATTATGCAACTTATTTTGAATTCTTTACAAAAACACTAAGTCTCTGAAGCTGAAATGCCAATGTTTCACTAAAGAATTTTCATCCGAAACTGTATGAATAACTAATTTATCTGAAAGACAAGTATATGTCATTCAGTTTTACCCCGTGGTAGCCCCCTCTGCTTAGGTAACATGCAAAATGTGCATGATGTAGGAGTGTACCATGTTCATGCTATTCTTAAAATCATCAATCATGTATTGTAAGTCATTTTGTACTTTTCCTGGTAGAGTATACTCAGAAGTGATTCACCATGCCCTTCTTCTGGGGATGCCCTGGGACTATGTAGCTTGTCCATGACTACACCATCTGGCTCTTCTTCCAGGAGCCACAAGGGGGAATTGAACTCCCAACCTCTGGCTCTGCAGGCAGATACTTAAAAACAATGAGCTATCCAACCAGCTATTATTTACAATAAGTCAGCATTAAAAGCTCTCACATGGAGACATTTCCTACCTCTGTTAGACAGCTGCAATATAAGGCAAGAATAGAAGGGACCGCCACCCCCACATATAACTTACTGTAATGAAGTCACCCTTCAGCCAGTTATCATTTTTCACAGCTTCATAAACTCCAACATCTTTCCCTTGCACTTTGACCTTGGCATGGTTAACATCTGGATATTGAGTAGAGGAGTGATTCCCCCAGATAATACAATTCTTTACATCTTTAGCAGTCACACCAACTTTCATTGCAATCTACGTTTTTTTAAGGGAGAAAGAAGAAAAAGTCCCTATCAGCTTGTTAATTTCAACTAATTTTTTAAAGAAATAATTTCAACAAAATAGTTTACATTAGAGTGCTGTGTAGATCTAGAAGTCCATTCCTACCTGTGACTTTGCTCTGTTGTGGTCTAGACGAGTTAAACAACTGAAATTCTCTTTGGGGATGGACGGAGCAGATTTTGAAGCAATCAGGCAATTGGTATTTGCTGGATTGCCCACCACAATAACCTGATGGAAAGAAAGGAACACATATTTATAGTAAAGCTGTTGAATCAACAACCTCCTCATGTTCTTTGATCATACATGTTAAATGAAACTAGATGAATGGGAAATTGCTTAATCTAGAATTGAGAAAACATTTTGAGACACACTTCCAGTTGCCACTGTTAATACACAAGGAGAAAATATCATAGCTAAGCAAAGATGGAGAAAGGCTACAATTTTTGCTGTGTATAAACAAGCCATTCCTCTGTAACTTTTCAAACTTTTTAAAATGTTTGGGAAAGTAAATTTAAAAATAAGCTGCTGGCCAAAATCAACTTGGCATAACTATATACCACACAAGGAGGACGGCATCATCAGTCAGCAACAGAAATCTTTAATTTAATACTTCTTATCTCTGCACTTCAGATTGATTCCAAAGCTCCCAAGGGATTCCAGGGGTGGGGCAGGGGGTGGGGCTTTCATATCAGAAAAATCAATGCTGCTGGCTTGCCAGTGGTGGGACTGGTGGCAGCGATTTTCCAATATGAAAGGCTTTGCCTGGCTCCCATCCTGGGGCCCTTAAAGACTTCCACAGGGCAAAAGGGATCCCTAGGGAGCCTTGGAATCTGGAGACAGTGGGGTATGAAGTTTTTTCAGTAAGGATGGGGTATTTTCATTCTTCTACCTTGATATTAAGTACAGGAGCTCCTCAAGGTTGTGTGTTAAGCCCTTTTCTTTATTCCCTGTACACACATGATTATACCCCATTGTATAACACCAACACAATTATTAAATTTGCGGATGATATAACAGTTGTGGGACTTATAAATAAGAACAATGAGTCTGTTTATAGGAAAGAAGTACAAGGGCTAACACTATGGTGTAAAGAAAATAATCTTATACTTAACACCAAAAAAAAAATGAGAAAGATAATGGACTTTAGGAGGAGGAGAGATGTATATTTACCACTGTACATAAATGGTGAAGAGGTGGAGAAGGTTAGTAGTTTTAAATTCTGGGTATCTATATTTCAGAGGACCTCTCATGGTCTATAAATGCTAATATGCTGGTGAAGAAGGCACAGAAGAAGCTGTACTTCCTGAGAGCACTCAGGAAGATAAATCTATCTCAGCATTTACTTCTGTCCTACTATCGTAGTACCATAGAGAGTGTCCTAACATATAGCATCCTTTCATGGTATGGGAGCTGCTCTGAAACTGACAAAAAAGCTTTACAGAGAATCACTAAAACTGTCCAAAATATTATTGGACTTCAGCTCCCAACCTTGGACAATATTTTTGCATCTCACTGCTTGCGGAAGTCATTTAATAGTCTTAGAGATTCTTCCCAACCTGCTTATAACTTCTTTGAACTGATGCCTTCCGGCAGAAGATACATGCTTGGATGACACGCATTTTAAGTAGTTTTTATCCTAGAGCTATAATTGAACAAGGAACTTAAGAAGCACCAGCAGTGAGTTGCTGAACTGTATTACTATTACTTGGTATGTTGTGTTGTACGTTGTGTGGATACTGTGTGCTCTAAGGTGGGGGTCTGGGTTTTAGGATTGTTATGCGGGTGTGTGTGTTTTGGTCTAGTCTCTGAGTACTCTTTGAGAATTTTGTTGTATCTGTACACAGTGTATATACATTCAATGACAATACATTACTATTACTACTACTACTACTACTACTACTACTACTACTACTACTACTACTACCAACAACAACAACAACAACAACAACAACAATCATCATCATCATCATCTTGGCCCTCTTACCAGATTATGATCCTCACACCCCCCTGCTATTCTGTGCATGCAGGTGACTAAAAAGCATTTCTTTCTCAACCTATGTATGCATCCAGAAGCATAGGAAGTCCATGGCATTCAACAGACTTCCATCTGAACCAAAACAAGACGTATTTCCTAAACATGTTAGCATGTAAAGATACTTTAACATAGTACCAAGTCTGTATATCAGACAGAATATCTATTTCCGTAAATGTATCTCATATTCCTTTTTAAAAGGTGAAGTAGATAGAAATGTTACTTTAAAAGAAGTATTAACTTTATTCCACTATTTTAATCCTTCAGTAGTCCTTACAGAAGCTCAACGTCAAAAAAAAACCCTAAGATTATGGCCACTGGTCCCATTGCCTCCTGACAATTCGAAGGGGAAGATATGGAGGCAGTGACAGATTTTACTTTCTTGGGCTCCATGATCACTGCAGATGGCAACAGCAGCCCCGAAATTAAAAGACGCCTGCTTCTTGGGAGGAAAGTGACAAACTTAGACAGCATCTTAAAAAGCAGAGACCTCACCTTGCCGACAAAGGTCCACATAGTTAAAGCTATGGTTTTTCCAGTAACATGGTCTAGAGGGGTGGGGTAAAAATCAAATAAATAAATAAATAAATAAATACTGATGTATGGAAGTGAGAGCTGGACCATAAAGAAAGCTGACAGCTAGAGAATTGATGCTTTTGAATTGTGGTGCTGGAGGAAACTCTTGAGAGTCCCCTGGACTGCAAGGAGATCAAACCTATCCATTCTGAAGGAAATCAACCCTGAGTGCTCATTGGAAGATCCTGAAACTGAGGCTCCAGTACTTTGGCCATCTCATGAGAAGAGAGGATTCCCTTTAAAAGACCTTGATGTTGGGAAAGAGTGAAGGCGAGAGGAGAAGGGGACGACAGAGAATGAGATGGATGGACAGTGTCATCGAAGCAACCAACATGAATTTGACCTAACTCTGGGAGGCAGTGGAAGACAGGAGGACCTGGCGTGCTCTGGTCCATGAGGTCACAAAGAGTCAGACATGACTTAATGACTAAACAAAAAGTCCTTACAAAAGCCTTGCATGATAGGATGATATTCATTTCTGTTATAGACTATACTTTTAAAACAGGCTTTTAACAGCTAACTGGGCAGTAACGTTTTAATTTTGGGTCCTTGCTTATTATATATGTATGCTTAATTGTTTTTAGCGTGTTTTTAACAGTTTTAATTAATTATGTTAGTACCAACATAATGTTTAATTGTTTTAATGTAATCATTTATTATGTTTTTGCCTTTTAAAAATATGAGAGCAGGCTTGAGTCCCATAATTGGACCAACATTCCTGCCTTCGGGGGAGTCATCATCTGCCGTCCCTCAGGCACTGGGTGAGAGACAGTGTGGCTGTGCTGCTGCGGGTTGCCAGCCTTCCTGGGGTAGTTTGGTTTGGACTCCCTCAGTTTTGTGGGACTGGGCCCTCGCTGCTTCTAGCTGCCCCACCCCCTCCTCAACATCAGCCACCTGGCTTGGGGGGGGGAGAAGGGGCTTTAGAAGGGTTTTTTATTGTGATTATCAATTGCCATCAGGTTACGTACTTAGAGACCCACAGTGGATCTGAGGGAACAGGAAGGGGGGAGGGTGTTGGAGGGGGCAGCCATTGAGGTGGTGCTGGGCAGGGGAAGGAATGGCGGTGGGGATAGAATATGCCCACATAGGGGAAAAGAGATTAGATATCTTACATCTATCCCCTCTTCTAGTCCTACCCCCAACCAGATGGTATCAGGTGACCCTATCAGCAAACCCTCAAGCCACACGGTGCTGTTGATGAATGCCAGGTCAGTACAAAATAAGCCTGCCCTCATCCATGATGTAATTCTGGATGAGGGTGCTGACCTGGCAAGCATTACTGAGACCTGGGTGGGAGAAGAGGGTGGTGTTCCCCTCTCCCAGCTGTGTCCACCTGGGTACTCGGTCCAGCACCAATGTCGCTCAGAGGGTCGGGGAGGAGGAGTTGCTAGAGTCTATAGGAGTTCTATCTCCTTGACCAGGCTTCCTATCCCTTTGAGAGGAGGTCTTGAGGGTCTGTATTGGGTGTTGGGCTTACGAGATAGATTAGGGATTCTGTTGGTTTACCGTCCACCCTGCTGCGTACCAACAGTCTCCCTGCCTGAGCTGACGGAGGTAGTCTCGGACGTGGTGTTGAGGACTCCCAGACTATTGGGGCTGGGGGACCTCAACATCCGTGCCAAGACTGCCTTGACTGGGGCGGCTCAGGACTTCATGGCCACCATGACAACCATGGGGCTGTCACAATGTGTCATTAGCCTGACACTTGAGAAGGGCCATACCTTGGACCTGGTTTTCTCAACAGGACTGGAAGATGGTGGTTTGGATGTCGAGGGGCTGGTTGTGACCCCATTGTCATGGTCAGACCACTTCCTGGTCAAGTTTAGTCTATTAGCTTCTTC